TCTATCTATCTATCTATCTATCTATCTATCTATCTATCTATCTATCTATCTATCTTTCTATCTATCTACTACTACTAGCGATGGTGACACAAAATAAAAATTAAAAAGGCAAAAAAAAAGACAAAAGAAAGGTTTTCCTGTTGCCATAGTTCTGTTGTTGTCCAGACTTGGCTGATGAGCGGTTTGTTTATTTGTTTGTTTGTTTGTTTGAGCAAAGAGAATCACGCCGATACTGCAAGGTCATTTAGTACGGGGGAAAGGTGAGACAGACACACAGACAGAAACAACAGAGGGCAAGTAAAGAACTAGAATCTACCAGTGACACCCTCCAACCACCCACACAGGCAGAAACAACAGAGGGAAAGTAAAGAACTAAAATCTACCAGTGACACCCTCCAACCACCCACACAGACAGAAACAACAGAGGGAAAGTAAAGATGTAGGACCTACCAGTGGCACCCTCCAACCACCCACACAGACAGAAACAACAGAGGGAAAGTAAAGATGTAGGACCTACCAGTGACACCCTCCAACCACCCACACAGACAGAAACAACAGAGGGAAAGTAAAGATGTAGGACCTACCAGTGGCACCCTCCAACCACCCACACAGACAGAAACAACAGAGGGAAAGTAAAGAAGTAGGACCTACCAGTGACACCCTCCAGCCACCCACTCATCCACGTCCTCCAACTTTACGGTTCTGTGCAATAATTGAGCGAGGCAGCTTTTTGTAGGGGCGTTTTGGTGTATTCGTCTGTTTGTACGAGAAGAGAAGAGAAATGAATTAAAACATTGTTGATTACAATCTTTCGGACTTCTCTTCTTTCTTCTTTCCTTTCTTGGTGGAAGCAAACGTGTATGTGACCCGGTATGTTACTACATTTACAGGCTACAGACATATCTATGCTAACATAATGTGTAAACACGCTCACACACATGCACACACAAACACACACTCACACACACGCATCCACACACACACACACATAAATATATATATACTACACTGCGCGCGTGCACACTCACACACTACACACACACACACACACACACACA